TGGCAGCGGCGGCAACAACAATACTACAGCGAGAATAAAAGTTACGCCTTCTTTCTTTGCGTGAATATTTGGGCGGCGTAATGCAAATCTTCCCACATCGTCACGTAGATATGTGGGGGCGTGTTAGAATGAGTCGTTTTAGGTAGGCGTGGTTAACTCTTAACTTTTATAAAGAATATCTCTTTGGTTTTGAGACTTTAGTGTTTGCAACTTTACAGATCTTCTTTATGCACCAAGAGCTTGTAACACTCCAAAGAGAAAGCCACATCGTGACGTAGACATGTGGGGGCGTGTTAGAACTAGCCGTTTTAGGTAGGCGTGGTTGACTCTGAACTTTTATAAAGAATATCTCTTTGGATTTGAGACTTTAGTCTTTACAAATTTACAGATCTTCTTTATGCACCAAGAGCTTGTAACACTCCAAAGAGAAAGGAAAAATTGAAATCGCATCATATGACCCCTTTAAGATATTTTTTGATTAAATCTGAGAGCTTTCTGACCCGCCATAGATGCCAACACAACTGACACGTTTAAGCCCCAGAAAGGTAGTAAGGACATCATTAAAATAGTCCATGTGACATCAGTGGTTCAACTGTAATTTTTAGGGATGCATCAATGTGATACTCAGTATCGGCTTCGATACTGGCATTGTCTGCCAGATCGGGTATCGGTCAGACGAGACCGATCTACAGTGGGTACGGAAAGTATTCAGACCCCCTTAAATTTTTCACTCTTTGTTATATTGCAGCCATTTGCTAATCATTATAAAGCACCATAAAGTTTTTGTGCACTATATTTCAAGTGTTCTGAAGCCATTCCAAAGTTCAATTTGAGGTACAGATGAATATTTAAGTCAAGTTCACGTAAACTCTTCTCTCTGCTGCGGAGAGAAAAATATATATATTTACTTGTTTTTAATGAATGTATTTTACAACAATACAAAGAGCAATGTGTAACATTTTACCAGACTTAGTCCTACACTTATTCATTTTTATTTGTTCCCCACTACATAATGTTATTTCTCCAAATGTTTAGGCTAGATTTTATAAAATTATTGTGGACTCGTGATTTTTCTAGAATAACTTTTGCTGCTGAATTATCCACTAACCTAGTTTATTATAGTATTTTTGTCATAGATTATGATTATATATTTTTTCATTTGTTATTTTTCATTAAAATGAAGTTGAACATTGAGCTTTGTTTAGTGTAAGCATAAAAAAATATTGGACTTTTCAACATGAAATCTTAAAAATTCAATAGTCATAAGGGATGTTTACACATTTCTATGTGTGCATGACCTAAGATCTTTATTAATTAACTAGATATTGAAGCCAAGGTTTGGCTTCATTAAAAACTCGACACTTCAACTCAAACGGTTAACGTCTCACACCAACTCAAAAGTCCCTGCACATGCAATTTGGACCATATAAATATATTATATGCAAACAAAGTGGAGACAAAACACAGAAATACACATTCTCTGTTCCAACAGTGCAGACACTATCCTGAACATCATAGTTGGCTGCTGTCTATCCTCAGCTGGCCTCAATGAATCCCCTACTGTCAACAACTATCTGTGTCATGCTGACAATCAGACCGAACAGTAGCACACACACAAATGCTTGCTCACATATATACACACAGCCAAGCTTCACTGCTTTTACAAATCTAAAAAGGCTGGAATGAGTGTAGGAGTCCAACAGATCACCACTTCAAAATTACTATTTTGAAAGTAATAATTCAAAGTTTAAAATCCTTCAAAACTGTTGTTATACTTTGTAAGTGATGTAATCTTTGAAACAGAATCTATTGATGGCTGCCATTGAAATTATGACCGCTAACACTGCATTGTTCTTGCCTCATTAAATTGTTCTAGATTCTACAGCTGTGACTTTCAAGGACACGGCACACACAAGAAATCAATATTACGTCTGTCAAAAACAAGCACACCCACACACTCAGTCATACACAACAGCCGTGAGCCACAAAAACCCAACCCGAGACCAAAACCCCCCCATGACATCCTGCATTATTCCAGAGGAATGCATGATCTCTTTACATGCGCTAGAGGGCTGCACCACAGGACCTGAGGCTCAGAGTGGCCTGCAAACTATCAGAGAAATCTGAGAACTTATGTTTGGTGCAAAAACAACAAGGATCATAGCAAGGCAGGATGCACAACTTAGAATATTTAGTATTTTTTTGCAAAATAATTTACATTAAAGGTGGAGAAATTTCACTCTCAAATGTGCTGCATTACTTTGCTCATTGCTCCCTCCTGTGGCCTCGGGAGACAATTAGACCTATACAATAAAGACCTATTTAATCTGCATATAAAACATTAGAAATTAGATATTTGTTTAATTTTTACCAGACTTAGTCCTACACTTATTCATTTTTATTTGTTCCCCACTACATAATGTTATTTCTCCAAATGTTTAGGCTAGATTTTATAAAATTATTGTGGACTCGTGATTTTTCTAGAATAACTTTTGCTGCTGAATTATCCACTAACCTAGTTTATTATAGTATTTTTGTCATAGATTATGATTATATATTTTTTCATTTGTTATTTTTCATTAAAATGAAGTTGAACATTGAGCTTTGTTTAGTGTAAGCATAAAAAAATATTGGACTTTTCAACATGAAATCTTAAAAATTCAATAGTCATAAGGGATGTTTACACATTTCTATGTGTGCATGACCTAAGATCTTTATTAATTAACTAGATATTGAAGCCAAGGTTTGGCTTCATTAAAAACTCGACACTTCAACTCAAACGGTTAACGTCTCACACCAACTCAAAAGTCCCTGCACATGCAATTTGGACCATATAAATATATTATATGCAAACAAAGTGGAGACAAAACACAGAAATACACATTCTCTGTTCCAACAGTGCAGACACTATCCTGAACATCATAGTTGGCTGCTGTCTATCCTCAGCTGGCCTCAATGAATCCCCTACTGTCAACAACTATCTGTGTCATGCTGACAATCAGACCGAACAGTAGCACACACACAAATGCTTGCTCACATATATACACACAGCCAAGCTTCACTGCTTTTACAAATCTAAAAAGGCTGGAATGAGTGTAGGAGTCCAACAGATCACCACTTCAAAATTACTATTTTGAAAGTAATAATTCAAAGTTTAAAATCCTTCAAAACTGTTGTTATACTTTGTAAGTGATGTAATCTTTGAAACAGAATCTATTGATGGCTGCCATTGAAATTATGACCGCTAACACTGCATTGTTCTTGCCTCATTAAATTGTTCTAGATTCTACAGCTGTGACTTTCAAGGACACGGCACACACAAGAAATCAATATTACGTCTGTCAAAAACAAGCACACCCACACACTCAGTCATACACAACAGCCGTGAGCCACAAAAACCCAACCCGAGACCAAAACCCCCCCATGACATCCTGCATTATTCCAGAGGAATGCATGATCTCTTTACATGCGCTAGAGGGCTGCACCACAGGACCTGAGGCTCAGAGTGGCCTGCAAACTATCAGAGAAATCTGAGAACTTATGTTTGGTGCAAAAACAACAAGGATCATAGCAAGGCAGGATGCACAACTTAGAATATTTAGTATTTTTTTGCAAAATAATTTACATTAAAGGTGGAGAAATTTCACTCTCAAATGTGCTGCATTACTTTGCTCATTGCTCCCTCCTGTGGCCTCGGGAGACAATTAGACCTATACAATAAAGACCTATTTAATCTGCATATAAAACATTAGAAATTAGATATTTGTTTAATTTTTAGTGTGTTTGATTGTTAAAACCAAAAATATTTGTTGTTTGTCTCAATAAATTGTGTTAATTATAAATATGGTGGTTAAATTTAAACATTTTTTTCTATTGCTTTTTGTTTTAAAAAAAGGTTATAAAAATGTCAATAATTATCGATACCAAACGATATGAAACACTATATCGTTGATAACTTTTTTAGCTATATCGCCCAGCCCTAATATTATATAT